GAAATAGGAAGCTTTATTTTACAGGGTCAATCAATAGAGGATATTTCACTGGCAGCTTATACACAGACTAAATGTAATAATAAGATTATTCTGTCTATCCTTCAAAAGCTCACGAAAGATAAGGGATTCCAGAGATGGCATCATATGTGAAATGACATGTATCAGTACATACTTCACATACCTCCTAGTTAGGTGGATGTGTACAAAGCAGTACATTGGTTTGCAAGTTAGTCTCCAATTAGCTCGCATACAATAGTGTAAGCCCATCTGGGTGAAAATGAATTTGGGTTACACATGCTGCCGAAGCTGATTGATTAAGATTGTTACTGTTTGCAGGGAATGCCTAAGAGGTCTGATAATCTACTTTACATCTTTGGGGAGCTTCTCAAAATGCATGATGTGAAGGTATTATTGCAAAGTACAGTGTGACGCAAGACCCTCAGTTTCCAATGCATTATCAGAAGGCCTACTAGGAAGTTCTACTTAAAATACTCCCTGTATGGAAACAGGAAAGAGAAACTATTCCATAGCTCTCCTCTTCCCCTCCATGGCTCTCAAAAGCTGCTCTAGAGCAGAACGCACAACTCTTTTTCAGACAGAAGAAAGCTTGTGATTGCTGAATGGGGAACTTTCTCCTCAAATCTTACATCTAATTTTAAAATCAAATGTAAATAGTTTAATGCAGTTGATATGGTTAGTTCTTACATATTTAATAATTGTATTGTATACATTACTAAAGTTTCCCAATTTCTCAACAGATTTGGCTGAAATCTTCTTCCATTGCCTAAAAAAACCAAACATTTTACATTCTTGTAAACTTCCTTAAATTAACCTCCTTAAGCAAACTAAAAGGTGGAAACATACATGACTCTGATAAGTCATAAGAATATTTAAATTTCTCCTATCCAGATGCTTGGGATAGATTTAAAAAGTCACGTGAGCAAGACAGTAAAAAAAAAAATTACTTAAGTGTAAAACACATTGTAGATTAATTTTCCGTAAGTAGATTCAAACTGTAAAACCAGTCTGGAAAATAGCGGCCTTTACTGTATCCTTTAAAAAATGCTCGTATGCTGAGAAAATTATGAATGGAAGCAAATCCATTGATAAAACAGAAAATGCTTTCCTAGGGCTTAACACATTAGCAGTATTGAAACTACAAGTTTTTTTTAACTTAATGAGACTGCAATAAAACAAAAGAGCATGAATCAAAAGTGACTGTGTCCATTGCTACAATTGTAAATGGCTTTCGGTGTCTTTTTATTCATTTTCTCTGCCTGCCAGGGAAAATAAGAAGTTTTGCATCAACACAGGGTGCACCCTGATATTGTACTTGTCTCTATGTTAAGTTTTTAGGTCTGTTTGAGTTTCTTTCATTGAAGAGGGATGGTAGAAAGAAATAATTAAAGGTGCTTCTCTCATCATTTCCTATAGCTTAAAAGATTTTCAGCATTTTCCATTAAATTGCCACAGAAAGTTCTGAAGTTGTTTTTCAATTCTTTAATTTCATACTCTTATTTATGATGCAGCTGTTATTACTTTTTGCATCAAGACAGTATTTTAACGCTTCAACTTGCACCAATCTATCTCTTATAGAATCTTGTGGGTGAACTGAATATCAACATGCAGAACCAGGAAAGAAAATAAATTGAATACTTGGACATATGAGCCAGTTCTGATTCGTAGATCTAGTTTTTCAGTTTAAGATATTTTGGTATTTGTGGTGGTAGTTCTTTTAAATTCTAAGCAGCAGTCAGCCAATTAAAATTATTTCTGAAAGAAGAAGCTTTTTGTATTCTAATATTCACAGAACACTGAATTTTAATTCAGAAAACGTATTAAAACTTATTAGATATAAGTCACATAAAACGTAACTGCAGCTTGTTGTGCTATGATTGCCAGTTTGGATTTTTTTTAAAAAAACCATCTGAATACAATTTAAATAAGCAGCATTTTATTTTCAACCAACATACACACTGACTGATTCTCTCTGTAAAGACGAAGAATATGAGAATCCAAAGTAATACACAAGTCCCCCTCCTCCAATTCTTGGAAATGACCTCGAGAACAGCTCCAAAAAGTTGACATTAAAATATATTTTTTAATTAGAAAGAAGAGACTAGCCCTAAATAATTGGGGGGTGTTAATTTTAATTGCATTTTAAACGAGAAATAAATTTACTTCACTTCTTGGCTTCACTAGCTTCCTTGCCCAGTTCCAAGTACACCCCCTCCTGAGACCTTAAGTGTTTGTGCACCCTGATACAGAGTAAAGGAATAAAGCTATGTAAGACCTCAGCATTCACGAAACTTAAAGAAAAATAATACTTCACTAATTTTCAGTGTTTCTACCCTTATGAGATCTTTAAATCTGATGCTTACACTTCAGATAACTGAAGCAATTTCCTGAATGCTCAAAGCAAATGAAAAGCAGCCATATAAATGTTTAGAGAGCTAACTATATACAAAATGATAAACAGTCAATGCATCCAAAGTTAACACTCTATACAAGAATATAGTGGCTACACATTGTTAGGAAGTAAAGATTCAGACCAAGCCAGCATCAGGATTCCAAGGTGCAATTGGTACCAGATGTTTAAGAAAAATCAGCCACTGGATGACTAGGGAGATTGCTTATTCTCTTTATTATTTTCTTTCTTTTTTCTTTTTTAGCAGGATTAAACGTTTTTGATATGTCCCTGTTCCCCATCAACCTCCTCAGTTTTCAGGAGGATTGGTAATTTGCAGAGGGCCAATCCACAAAGCTGAGGTGATGGTATCTTTGGCAGTTGAACATCATTTGATATACTCAGTATGAATTTTTTACTTTTATCTAAAGAAGGAGAAACTATTATGAAGTTAGTCCCAATTTGGGAAAATACAATTTGGTTGATTTACTTTACCAAGACCTGTTTATACACTACAGTAAAAGAATAAATCTTTATATTCACAATACTACAATGAAATCACTTGGCATATGTTAACTTGATGGGAGAAGCACAGGATTCCTTGAACAGTTGCAAAGCAACCAATTGATTTAAATGTATTTTCTGCTCCTACTTAATTTACCATGCACAAAAGGTGGAGAAGAAAACTTTTTTCCTTTCCACTCTTTCCATATAAATTAATAAATATGTGCTACAGTTAAATGATTACACTTTTTTGCACAGTTTGCATATAGGCTAGCATCATGCCGAGAAAGGTTTGATTCTCCGTAATAAATCACTCCAAAGCTTTAAATATTAAAAGCAAGAATTCCTTTCCACCACGCTGCTGGTTTTTCATCTGCAGTGCAGCTGATTGTTTTTTGAAGCAGAATGCCAGCTGCTCAGATTGGCAGTTCTTGCTAACAACCACATATGCTAAATTATGCATCTCCAACAGGCATTCTTATGTTGGTGGCGTCATCTACTATATTATACATCTAGCCATAGATGTATTAGAGCTGGATAAAAGAGCAGTACAACAATAACAACACAGCATCCAACCGGAAATCTCATGTGACATAATATCAGTTGTGAAAGGACTTCTTCTCCTCCTCCTTTGTCTTCCCTCTCTTCTACCAATTACATCCATATCTTACTCCCGCCCCTGGGCAAAGTATCAGTGGCTGAGATTTCTGTATCCGCTACTTTTTCCTATGTAGACTTGGTTTTGGAGGGGAAGTCTTCTCACAGAGTGAGTTAACATTTGAAGACATGCCTTCTGGTTTCCCAAATGCTTCTCAGCATTGAATTAGCAATTAAGAATGATTTATGGCTCCTCAGTTGCTCTTTAGCAGAGTCAATCACAGGGGAAAAAATTAGGAGTAAGGGCAGAGGGAGGGGCGATTTCCAAATAGTTGGCACAAACCACACATATTTATACATATGTATATACATGTTGCAGTCTATATGCCAAGGGCTTGGAATTTTCTGCCTCTGCTTTCACCTTCCTTCAGCTGCTATTCCTTGTAGACTAACAAGATTCCCTCTTCAGAAAATTTGTTCAAACCTTTTTATGGCTGTTTTTCTTGGTCGACTCTTGAGTATTTTATTTTATTATTATTCTGGAGAAAACCCCAAACATAAAAAGATAAAAGCATATCTAGGTCTTCTCATGACAGTGTATCCCAACACATCACAGAAAGTGGCAGTTATCAAAAGACATTATGTGCAAGAAATCAAAGTCAATTTGTAGAAATAGACCCAAAGAATTCTATGTTAAATTAGAACAAGACAGGACAGGGCAGAACAGAACAAAACAGAACAGAATACTTTATTGGTCAAGTGTGATTAGACACACAAGGAATTTGTCTCCAGTGAATTAGCTTTTAGGGTACATACAAAATAACAAAGTAATAATATTCATAATAATGTAATAATAATCATAATAATGATACCAATAATAGAAGGTAGTGGAACAGATGAAAAGGCTAAAAGTAATACAGCCATACTACATAGGTAAATATAGACATAAAATAGTATTGTGGGAATTAGGTGTTCAGCAAAATGATGGCATGAGGAGGAGGAAAAAAAACTGTCTCCCTGTCTAGTTGTTTTGGCATGCAATGCCAGGTTTTTTGTTTTTGTTTTTCTTGAGAAAAGAATAACCACCAACCACAGAAACAGACTACAGAACCTTGAAAATAAAATGGGTGCCCCTGCAAATACAGCAAGTTTTGAGGACATTAATTCCCATTGTGGCCATTTAAGAAGTTTTCAGACAGATATATTTTATCTATTTGTCTAATAATCATGATTTATCTCTCATATTTTTACAGCAAATGTATGGCAAATATCTGGACTACCCTGAAAAACAGAAGTGAATTTTCTTAACAATACTCATAGGGAAAGCTTCCCTATGAGTATTGCAAGGAAAATGGAATATTGCCTCAAGGACTCGTATCAAAAGATTCTTCTGCAAAAACTACAGAGCTGCCATAAGACATCCAATGACAAAGAACTGAAAGGTTCTTTTGATTATTCTACTTAATCCCTATTCATAAAGATTCTTGCTTACTGGTTCTCGGCCATCCATTGCTTCCATCCACAGCCTTCGATCCTCTTCAGAAAGTGCCTGCATTGTAATCACTCCAGGCCTGCAGAGATGAATGGAATGAAGCCGTGAATAATAGATTTAAAAACAGGAAGTAGGAAAAACAGAAGTGTTAAACCAGGCAAATTCAGCAAAAGCTGCCACAATGCACCTTTCCATGATTCAGACTCAAACTCAAGTGGGAGAAAACTATGTACATTAAAAGAGAGAGACCAAATTAGAATATCATCAATTTTTCTCACTCTTCACTTCAATAGATCTGTTAGGGTTTAAAAAAACAAACATTCCAAGCTACATATTTCAAATATTCATGAAGGTAATTCAAATAAAAAAGAATAATCACAATAGGCTGTCAAAACACAGTCACACAATAGAAACTTCATAAAAGAGCAATCAAGGAAAATTCTCACTAATTAAATTGATGAGGTTTGCATTTCTGTCAAAGTCTATCTTCATATTTATATAGATTACATGAGTCAGAGCAGCATCAAAGCTTCCAAATTATCACTACAATTTTCCCTCAAATTGATGTGGCAATCAAACTAATCTACTAAGGAATATACATTTCGATAATAAAAGAAAAGTTGATTTGTTAATCGATTAAATATTTTGATTCAAAGTTAATAATCTACTGCAATTAAGATTCAAAAAATGTTCTTCAAGTTCTTCACTGTGTTGGTTGATGGAAAGAAATAAAACAGCTGAAAAATTCATTTATGAAATTGATAAGAAATGGAAAGTCATCTTGAATAAAACGACTAACATTTTAATATGTTTTAAAAATGAAGCTTCAAAAAATTCTGTAAGAGGGAGGTAGGTAGCCGCAAGCGATTAAGATCACAACCAATAATTGGAATTATACTCTCATATCAAATGGAACAACATAAGAATCAAATCACAAATAGTTTGTGTTGACAGAGTTGTCTTTTATTATATATATCAATAGATCTTCTCTACTTCAAAAACCTTGTTATAAGAGAATATTTGTAAAATACCATTTGTTTCCTGTATTCACCTATACCAATCTTTTTCTACATCAATACAGTACTGTATATGTTCTTCTTCATTGTCAGTGACTCTGCTATAAAACTACTGTCATATTTCTATTCTGAGGGGAGTTAATTTTTAATGTTAATTTACTGTATTTTTTATCTTTAATGAAAATTGGAAAGAAAGATGAATAGTCACATTTCTCAATGACTCAGAGTCATCAGCAAAATCTTTTGCGTATAAATATTTGGCCCTGCTAACTTTTGCAAGAAACTGTCCAATCAATGCATGAAAAGTCTGAAATGAAATGGAAAACTATAATGAAGCATATTAACGCGCCTCACAGTTATAAGAAAATTAGCATATAGCGCAGAAAGTGCCATTTGACTTCTGCCTCAACAGCAATGGAGAAAGAGAATAAGAATTCAACTTTTAATAATAGAAATTTAGCAACTGCCAATTAGAGACTCACAGTTATGTCTACACAAAAAGCTCACACAATTTATCCAGGAAAGAATACAAGCCCTACAGATGTAAAATATTCACACTGAATAAATATTATTTTTACTAATTTCTTTCTGAAATAATCTGAAAGCTATAGAAATATCATTCTGAAAAATATTTGTCTAAAAAAATACCCTAATTTACAGCTTATCTGGAGTACTGTGCTGAAAATTAAATTTGTCAGTGCAAGTTTGTTTTTTCATACAGGCTGTTTTTTCATAGAGATTTAGCTCACTCTTTGGTCTAATCTAGCATAATCCTTCTCTTAAATTAAAGCAGAACAAATCTCTGTTGAATGTCCTAGCTTAACAAACCTGTTTCTAACTGAAGCTAAACAGAGACAGAAGCAACAATGAGTTTTTGTTCTTATGATTAAAAATAAAGAAGTTGAAGGAGCCAGCAGCTTTCTCTCTTTTAATCCATACTTTGTTTTCATTATACTGTTTCTACAAAGGAACTTGATTTTCTTAAAACACATGGGTTGGAAATCTTGTTAATAGACAAATTACACCAAGCAACAAACCTAGTGCTAACAGTGCACACTCTAGAACAGGACAAATCAATCATAACTGATAGCACAAACAGGTAACTATAACTGTATGAAGTATGGGACTATGTTCTTAGAAAACCTGGCAAGGTCTTTGAATAGAGTCAAAGAGTTGCTTGGTAAATAGGCAGCCATATAAGGTTAGTGAGTGAATGAGTGAAATTGGACTTCTCCTTTTGTCTGAAAAAGACTTGCACTATGTGTTTATTTCTTCCAGTCAAGCATTACACTAATTCTACAAAGCAAAAATGGAAATGTTAGCTTTCACCATGCTAGCTGTTAAATTTCTTATAGCATTGTAAAAGAAAGTGTTTGGAGCGTTTATTAGATACAAAAAAAGTCAGTAACCAGTTGGGAACCTCCCACTTCCTCCTATCTTCCCAAAAAAACCTAAGAAGCATTACTTCCAACCTAAGAAGCACTACTACAGTATCTTTTGTTTTTCTAAAAAGTCTAAGTGATTGCAACTAAATATCCCTTTAAAAAGTAGCATCCTCATCCAAACCTTTGGTATTTTTCTTTTTAAGAAAACAGCATGAATTAGCATTTATACATCTTCTCCAAATGAGTGCCCGCCAGAAATTTTGCAGTACTGATGTGTGTGTGTGTGTGTGTGTGTGTGTGTATTCGAAAGTAACATAACCTAGGAATAATGCATGTCTAAATCTTATCTGTCTTGGGTCATTGGCTAGGGAAAGATGCAACTTCCATCTTAGCTGCACGTATAAAAGAAAGAAGGGCAGGGCCTACATGTTGTATTCCTTTAATTAATATTACCTGTACTTTCTGAATCCTAGATTTTATAATAGAGAAATGAAAAGAAGTATAAGTATCATTCAACTGGCTTAAGTTATATCAAACAATTTCTTAGCTAGCTACAGGTGTACTATATCACATTTACAGTTAATTAGAAGCCAGTGTTTTCCTTCCCTATTATCCAAAATTTATCTTTACGATTAATAATAATAATAATAATAATAATAATAATAGTAGTAAAGTTGGAAGGGACTTTGGAGGTCATCTAGTCCAACCCCCTGCTCAGGCAGGAAACCCTATACCATTTCGGACAAATGGCTGTCCAGTCTTTTCTTAAAAACTGCCAGTGTTGGAGCATTCACCACTTCTGAGGCAGGTTGTTCCACTGGTTAATTGTTCTAACTGTCAGGAAGTTTCTCCTTAGTTCTAGGTTGCTTCTCTCCTTGCTTAGTTTCCACCCATTGCTTCTTGTCCTGCCTTCAGGCGCCTTGGAAAATAGCTTGACACCCTCTTCTTTGTGGCAGCCCCTGAGATATTGGAACACTGCTATCATGTCCCCCCTCGTCCTTCTCTTCATTAAACTAGACATACCCAATTCCAGCAACCGTTCCTTATATGCTTTATCCTCCAGTCCCTAATCATCTTTGTTGCTCTTCTCTGTACTCTTTCTAGAGTCTCAACATCTTTTTTACATCGCAGTGAACAAAACTGGATTCAGTATTCCAAGTGTGGTCTTACCAAGGCATTGTAAAGTGGTATTAATACTTCACATGATCTTGATTCTATCCCTCTGTTAATGCAGCCTAGCACTGTGTTGGCCTTTTTGGCAGCTGCAGCACACTGCTGGCTCATATTTAGGTGATTGGTGTGGTGTGATTCAGTGTGGTTATGACTATTCACTAACATACACAGCAAGCTACATTTGAGGATCACCACTCATACTTCTCTATTAAACAGTGAGAGGGAGAGTATAAGCTTTAAATTTACTTCGCATTAGCCATAACATGATAATTTCAAGATTTTGTTCATTTATAAAGGTCATTGGAAATGTGACACAGCATGAGAACAAGTACAGGTTGTATTGCATTTGACCAGCACAGAGCTCATCTGAGAGAAGAAGAAAAATGAATATATAAACAAAGCTGAAACACTGCAGGTAAGAGAGATTAAAAAGAGAGAGAGAGAAAAAGAAAGAGCCTGCTGTGTCAACACAATCAATGGCTACGGTCAATGCAGAGGCCTCATTATACACTGTGATTTTTGATTTTTTTAAAAAAGAAAAAGTAAAACTTTAAGACATAAACCAAAAAGAACTATGAACTATGAATTTAAAAAAAAAAACCTTAGAGGTAACTTTAAAGAGAAATATATTTTAAATTTCGAGATTGTTCCATCCAGAATGACATTTGTTCAAATAAAAGACTTCTTTTAGAAATAGCATTGTTATTATAACCAATAAACATTATTATAAATTATGTTTGAAAAATATTTTCTTAACTTTTGATTTTTTAAAAAATCCTTTTTCATTTTTTTTTTTTTTTTTTGGCCAAAGCAATCTCCTATATTTTTCCACAGATCTGAATTATCTTCATGGCTAGTTCTTTAAAACTTGGTTAGAGTTTAAAGAAATTCTGTGCCGCAAAGAATCCAATACGATTTATCACTATGATTGTGATTCTTGATTAGGAAGGCAAAAGATGCTTTGAAGCTGTGAAGAGCAGCCACACCATCCAATAGAAGGCACTGGTGCTGTAAGGTGTTGTCTCTATATATCCTAAAGCACTTTTGTCTTAAATCCAAAGTGTAGCAAACTCTGTTCATCAGGTTCAAACTCCAGAACTTTCTTCCAGAGTTCTTCCAGAGAAACTGCCTACTTAATGCAAGAATTCTCTATATTACTGAAAATAATTCCTTGCTTTTAAATAAAATAGTTATATATCATTCTTGAAATTTAGCATTCAGGATAGCTATTTTAAGCAGTTCTATCAAATCCTCTATCTTCCCTTTCCTCATGTTGAACAAATTATTTCCCATGCTTAAAAAAAGATTTGGGTGATGATCCGAAGAAGTAAATGTCAAGAGCTAATGTTTGTACTTGCCATTTCCAGATTTTACATGAGGAGTTAAGGCAACTGCTTTACATTCTTTATTTAACATTTTGTCACCTGAATTATGTATTTTGTAATTATTATTTCAAAATTATTACTACCTGCTTTCCTGATACCTGAAATTTTAATATAGCAACT